TTCTTTTTGGGTGCCGCAAACCTCGTTATAGCCATACCCGATTTCGATATTTTACCTTCCTTTAGTAGTTCGTCAAGAGCCTTGCTGAGTGGTTTACTTATCTGCTTTCGCTCAAGGTGCCAAACTCTTTCTGGAAAAAGTTCCAGATCATCTTTTGTAATTCCCCGTTCGCTTTGGGGAACGAGACTTTCACGCAAATGTTTAATGTCCTTGTATGGGGACACATCGATTTTTTCCGTTTCTGTTTTGTTCGTATCATCTTTAGACTCTTTGAGTTGCTCCATAGTTGAGATGCGAGTTATCAAGTCTGTGATGGCAACCGATAATAACTGCATCTGCGCTTGCTGACACTTCACTCCTTTTTTTTTTGAACCAGCGAGTGTCAGGCTCTTCGATTCCTACGAATAATAATATAATAAATAATACGAAGTACATACATGTACCGTGAAATAATTATAGGAGAGAAAGAAATAGTGCGAATTAACGCTGGTATGTCATGAAAAAGAGATTGAGAAGAAATGAAATAGTACGGAACGACATGGGTATACCACGAAATGGCTCGAGGAGTTTTTGCGCATCAGCAGCGAATTGATTGCGACATGATAAATGATGAAATGAACAAGAACGAAATAGGAATGATGATACCCCAGAATCGAAATTAATTTGAGAGGCTGGCATAAGCTACAATGACTTTAACGAATTTGAGCTAAGGACACAAAAAAATGTGCGCTAGCTGTTGCAACTGTGTAGCAGTAGCTTTATTGTCGAAACCAGAGAATCCAGCACATCAGAATTAACGGCTTTTATACTGGCTGCCACGTGGTATCAGTCATCGATAGCCACGTGGTACCTTACAATCACTACGGAAGTTCACCGGTCTAGACTAGTTAATCATATCACTGTAGGGATCCAACACTAGCAATGTCAACAGAAAGCAAATTGTGATTCCCCCATCGCGACAGAAGGCAAGGGACGACTGGCTGGTCGGAGCTCTATTGCAACACTGGGCCCTGAAAAGACCTTAAAAAATGTAAAAAGAGCGAGCCTTTCTCAACTTAGTTGCTATATCGCTTGATATTCGAATGTGATGGCTGAACTCTAAATGGATGCGACAAAAGTACAAAAAGCGATTACCCATTGAAGGCTGGATTCTTGATTTAGAAGGCGTGAGCAAATGTGAAGAATGATGAACCAATGAGTGAGTGGGAGAGAAAAGTCAGCGACGTACACTTACTGCCGAAAAGAGCGGATGGTGCTGGAAGTGGAACATTTTCTCTTACGGGTCCTGCATGGAATGGATTTTAGAATGTTTGATGAGTCAAAGCGTCTTGCATGAGTGCAAACGCGCTCAAAACGCTGTTTTTGAGCGTTTTTTTTGAACGTGGATTACTGCAGCGGACAAGTTTGAGTCAGGTGTGGTGTTTCGCGTGTAGGTTACACGCTTTGCGCATTGCAGCTGCAAATTCCTTTTTTTGCGGTTTTTGCACTGTTTTTGTTATCTCTTGTAGTTTTGCTTGTTGCTCTTATGGAATGGATGCCGGATATTTGTCGTTGTGTTTTTTGTTGTTGAAAAGGTCGCACAAGTCGCCGATCGCTTCGGTTGTAGGTTTATCCGCGTTGGTTGCGTGGTCGCAATTTGTAGGAGTGCTCTCCAGTTTCTCTTTGTCTGCCGGTTTCAGTGGTTTTTTAAATATTATCGCTCTCGCTATTAATTCCCATTGGGACAAGAAGGTTCATAAGTCTTTTCATTTGTCTTCCTTTTGCTGTGATTTGTTCTGCTTCCCTGATTTTTTCACCCGTTGACAGTCTCAAGCTGATTATGCGGGCTAGCGTTCAGTCGCTTCGCAGTAGTACTGGGTCGCTGACGAGGACTATACTCCTTTTCGTGGCAGAGTAGGCTTTCTTCTATTTCTGTATATTTGAACCTTGTGTTGTTCGCGGAGGACGCTTAAAAATTGATGTCTCCGAATTTCTCAAACTGCATGGTGACATTGGTGGATGATTGTAGGCTGCTTGTCTTCTTGTTTCTAACGTAGGAATTTCCATCGGATGGGTGTAGTCTGTATCATCTGGGTCGAACTCCACATTCTCGAAGGAACACGATGTTTAATCTGTTTTGTAGGAGGTCGATTGGCCTCACATAATTGAATTCTTCTGTGTTCTTCTCTTAAGGCCGATGTCATAGTTTGCGAATCGAGCGATTCGCTAGCGAATCGCTGATCCGAGCGTTGCGCCAGCGAATCGAACTTTGCACCAGCGAGTCGAACGATGTACCAGCGACTCAATAGTGGCGGGACCCAACGTTCAAAGGAAGCCCGCCACTTTCAAACAGTGTCACGTGACAGTGGACACTGTTTGAAAGTGGCGGGCTTCCTTTGAACGTTGGGTCCCGCCACTATTGAGTCGCTGGTACCTAGTTCGACTCGCTGGTGCATCGTTCGACTCGCTGGTGCAACGTTCGATTCGCTGGCGCAACGCTCGGATCCAGCGAATCGCTCAACCTTAGTAGGTTAGTGGTCTCGTGGTTCTAGTGCACTCCATTTCCGTAGCTACCGTGCTATCGTAAGGGATTTTTGGCCGATGCACACCATCAAACGGATAGTGGGGGGGGAGGAGTATCGCCGCTTATACCACTCGGCGTTTTTGGGAAGCCTCAAACTTAGGTAATTGAACTTTAATTACTGAATGAATGGTCTTCAACCAACCAATCAGCGTAACCAATCAATCAGCATCAGCCGAGCTATGATGGAAATTGGAAATATGATTTTATTCGCTATTAGTCCAAGTCCAGATAGTGGAGCAGCTCAACTTCCTTTGCTTCTTTAGATGAAAGGGTAGGAATGGAACATATTCACGTGCTAGGAACCTGGTTTAGTTCAACTGAGTGCACGCTCAATTGTCGCTACTTTTATCAGTACAGTTGCCGCTCATACCACTTTCTGTCACCTACATTCAACCCTCGCCACCTTGATCGCTTGCCAGTGATAATTGCAACGAAGTTGGAGAGACCTGCATTCAAACGCTCTTATCATTCCTTGTCATTTGTTATCAGTTCATACTGTTCGCAATCGGTGTCCCGGTCCTCCAACGTGTAGGAGCTAATATTTACTGTCACCACGAAGGCTGCAACGAAATTAGCAGTACTCAAAATCCTAACTTCCTTACTTATCAACAGGAGGAGCTCAACGATCTCGCCTCATGCATCGACGCGACATAAATCAATTAAGGATATGCTCGACGAGTCGATAGATATCGATTTACTGCTACTCGTTCAGCTTCCTGTACAAGCGTTCCAATTTTTTGTTGTTCATTGCAGTTATTGTGTTTTAGGCCTGTCTGTGTTCGCGAATAAACCGTGAGATATAAAGTTTGAATATCTAGGAACTCGGAAAATACCAGATCCTGAGTAAGAGAACAAGAACTAACTGACGCGTTGAAATTGACTTATACCTGTATTCGCGAGATATCTCTATTTCGGCCATTGACATTGGGGAGTATTAGTGGTTGAAATAGGCACACGGTTGCGGCGTTGGGCCATTGCCTTTTTTCGGTCACGTTCACGCAACCTCGTTCTATAGAGGCGAACTCGAGATTTACTGCCTCCACCCTGTATTGAAGGTTTTGCATGACACAACTTTTCTGCGGTAAAACGGCTTTGTGAAAAAAAATGTGAATAAAAGCTGCGTGACTTGATCAGTTACAGTTCTACCGCAGGAAAGACGTTGAAAATTGAACACTGTTGACGACAAGTCGTCTCACTGAGATCCCGCGCGAGCAGATCAAAACGCCATGATCGCGCGCCAAATGGACACATATAAGGGAGAGCGGCAACGTACGATATATATATATATCTTTTCTTCATTATTCGAAGTGTTACATTTTTATTCTCTCGATTAACCGCGTACTGAATATAAATACAGGGTGGCTACTAAATATTGGCGCATGGTTTATTGATCATATTTCCAAAAAGAGAAGCTATCATATCTTCAGAAAGTTTATTTTCATATACAATAAAACATGAAAATTCATTACCAAAGAAAGTGCTCGAGATGGCCTCCTTTGGTAGCGATACAGGCTTGAAGTCTCTTTTCAACTGACATCACCGTGGGCCGCAAGTAGCTGACGTCGGCGTGACGTGAGTAGATCTTCAGACCAGAAGGCGCACGATTTGCAAAACGACAGGCAGTTGTTGGATCTGGCTAGCAGACATTCTGCTCGACCTTGTGTACACACAAGGAACCGTTTTTCAAATTTGTCATGGTTTGGGCAGGAATTACTTCTGAAACCATGACACCGCTTGTCTTTGTGGATGAATACATCAAAGCCAGCGCCCAGATCTACCCGGAAACAATTTTCACGTATGCCCTTCTTCCAAGGACTCTTTTGACCTTCAGCGAACGTCATTGCATTCTTCAGCAAGACAGGGCGCCTCCACATGCCGCAAAATCAATGTTGGAGAACTGTGACCGTCATTTTCCAAGTTTACCGGCACAAAATGTTTGGCCATCTAAGTCGCCCGATTTGAACCAATTGAACCTGCTGATCTGTTATACTTCACAGAATTATTTGTTAAAAAACAGTTATTGCACATTTGGCAATCATATATTCAAACAAAACAAAGGAGTACCACAAGGAGGTAATTTCAGTCCCCTATTAGCTGATCTTACCCTCTCCGTCATGGAATACAATTATGCAATAAAGTATAAGTTTAATAAAAATAAGTCTTCATCCCATACAGATATATGGATGATTTGCTAGTGATACATAACCAAACCGAAGATGACATTGACATTCAACTAGCAGAAGTGTATATGAATACACTTGAATTGAAAGAAAACACATCTAAGTGAAACATCTAGTAATTATCTGGATTTAACAATAAGTATAATAAATAATAAAGTTATGACTAGATTATACAACAAGACGGACGACTTTAAGATTTTTGGGAATTCACGATTAGAATGAAGGTCGAAGAAAGGGAAACTGACCTAGTTGAGGGACCCACGGACCTCCTGAGGGTGCGAACTGACGCGCAATTCGCATGGAAAAATTTGACCTCGGCGACCTATCATGCCTCAAAGCTGGCGATCTCCGCCCACCGATCATCTGATCACTCGCCGTAGTTCAATACGTGGCGAGTGATTAGATAGCTGAGAGAGCGTAGTGTTGAAGAGGGCACAGCGATGAGAGTCGCATCAATGCTCGAATCAACGGGCAAGGAAGGGGTACCATTTCTCGGGTTCTGGGCCGTTTCTCATGGTTCTTCCTTCTTTCGTGTACCACTCACCATCCCTAGGTTAATTTGAAATGGGTTGCTTTTTCATCCGTAAACTCGTCTCTGACTTTCA